AACATATATATTACCGAGAATAGAAATATATCCGGTATTATATGATACGGGTGTGATGTCTTGATATTCAACGGGGTTTTCGGTAGATGAATGTAAGCCGTAACGGGACTTACACGTAACGAAAACCACGCTCTCGCTGCCTTAACCGGAGTAGAGAATATATTAGCGACATCGTATTCATAATTATTGGTAAAGAACTAATATTCAACCCTATTAAAGCATTTAAGTGATTCCCGAAGCCTTAGTTGTTGTTATCAATCACTTTAATCAAATTAATTCAAGTTATATCTCTGAAAATTAAAAAGAAGAACCAAGTTGTTGTTTTCACAACAACACACAACTCAAAATCCCTACACTTTACTCATTTACTTATTCAAAGTCATCTACTCGCGGACTAAATTAAACAACGTTTCCCTGTGGATTCGACCCGGTATTTTACCGGAATTTATTACTATATCGGCACTTGTACACTTGCAAGTTCAGCCCGATCAACTACCCTCGATGAACTGGATATACTCCTCGATTGAGTATTCGAGAGGAAGATAGTTAAAGATATAACCGGGATCGACGAACATTTCATTAAGTGGATAAAAGCAAAGCCAAGTCTTCTTCTCATTAATTAAACCACATAACTCGTTCATCTTCGTGTTCAATTTTAATTAAATCATTCAATCAAAACCCCCCTTTATTTATTAGTTTATAAAAAGAGAAGTATTCCTTTCCCTGCGGATACGAACCTTACTTCAATATACTACGTATATTTGTTGTATTGTATTTACTTTTATTGCACACCACGACAAAGTGCACGTCACACCTCCTGAGCTCTATTTTTTTGTGTGTTTTCTATTCATTTACTGCCTTTTCAAATTCTAAAAAGTAATTTTTTGGATTTGAAAATTTCAGATTGATGAAAACCAATTTGTCTTTGAAAAACAACTGATAGGAAATTGTTGTGTTTGAAATTTTATTTATTTATCAATTTTAATTGATTAATTTAAAATATAAGAATATCATAACTACTTTTATCAGAAAATGTTAGTTTTAGTTAAAACAATGTCAGTTGTATGCCACTAACTTTATAAAGATGACATTTTTTGACTGAACTTTCATTTTTCTATTATTTTGATTTTTTTTATTTCTATTGCCATTTTTTATTTTAATACTGTCATAATTCTTACAAAAATGCCACAAATTTAATTTTAAAAAATCTTTACTTTTTTGAAAATGTCATGATTTTTACAACACATTTTTCTATTAAAATATGACATTCTCAAGTGTTAAAATATAGCATTTTAGATAAGAAATTATGTAATTTTTTAGATAAAAAATAATGGCCATTTGAGGATGAAAATTCTGACATCATTTGAAAAACATGTCAAAAATATGTCATTTCTAATAACATGTAGTTATGTCATTCTCTAATAAGCCATAAAAATGCCATAAAAAGCCATAAGAATGACATTTTCTTATGGACATGTGACATTTTTAGATTTTCATCTGATAAAATATATTGCCACAAATGTGGCAGTCTTTTTTACATAATCAATAATTTTGACATTCTCCAATTCTCAGATTAGAAAAGTGACATTTCTCAAAGCAACATAAAAACCAACAATGATGCCATTTTAAGATTCAATTGAAAAATAAAATAATTTGAATGTTTTAAAATTAATTTATCATAATCTAAAATTGAAAATCAAAAGAAGAGAATGAAAAGAGAGGAGTTGAGCACGTCTAGATGGAAAGTGACGAAGAAGAAAATAGAACAAAGAAGAAGAAAGATTAGGAGGAGAAGGAATAAGAAAAGAGGGTTACCTGACTTCATCGGAGGAATTCCAGATGCGAAGTGTGCAGGAGGATGAGTGTGAATTGCATATGCGAAGTGTGCAGGTCCTGCAGGAGGATGAGTGCAGTGGTTTATCGATGAATCGTGCGAACATACTATAGTGGAGATCATTAAGGGTTGTTTTGTCAGATTAACTCTTTTTAGTCCTATTTTGTCCAATAAAACATAGCAGTCCTATTTTTCAATTCTACCTTCTTTTAGTCTTATTTAGGGAATTCTCTTCTAATTTCGTGTGCCATTGGCTCGGTGGTGCTCACTTGTGCTTGTGATGAGTTGTTTGCCTAAAAAAAGTCAATCGTTCCTGCTATTAGCTTCGAGATTGCTTTCTAACCCTCGATCTTCCTCGACGTCGCTGGTGGTGGAGACCATGATTGGTCTCAAATGGGCGCACATCTCTGTAACCTAGTCTGTAGTCTCGTCTAACCCTCGATCGAAGTTAGCTTCCTAATGTGGATCTGGCCGCCACTTGATGCTTCATACAGTTTTTTGTGCAAACTCACACGCTTTGTGTTGCAGATATCCCAATATCGTTGTGGTTATAACCCATTCTTCACTATTGGTCCGCATTTGTATTGACACAGCCGTGTTGACGCAGGTCACCGAACTCCCACCATCGCCGGAGTTGCAGGTTATGGCCGGCGTCGGAGTGTGCTGGTGGCCAGCGATTGTCGGGTGGTTGAAAGCAGAGGACACGATGCCAGTGGTGATGAAGCGGCTAGGGCATAGGGGCGGAAAAGATGCTATCATACAAGAGAATGAAGGGAAAAAAAAGAAAAAAAAGCATATATTTGCCACATCAGCTGCCATGTGGCCAGCCAAATAAGCCGCTACCGGTATAACCGATACTCAACCGGCTAAAAAAAAGAATTGAACGTTTTTATATAGTTCAAAGACTTAATTGAATGATTTGATAGTACGTGGACTTAATTGACTTTTTGACTTTATTATGAGGATTAATTTGACACTTTTCCCTACTATATAATATGGAGTAAGACTGTAAGAGCCACTAATAGGAAAATTGTCTTTTGAGGCACTTAGTTAGGGAAACTTTTTTAAAAAGTGAAGTGTTGGTTTTATGTATATTTTCTTCCTAAAGACACGCTTATACAAATCGCTTCCAATATGCGTCGTAAAAAATAGGAAAATTTTTCGGGATATGACTAAAACAAAGTGAGTTTCTCAAAATGTGACTAGTTATGTTTTTTTCGAAATATGACCAGAAATCGAAAAAAGAAGAGAAAATTTCAGTATATTAAATTGTAGAAGGACGGAAATACCCTTTTTTAAAAAGACACATTTTACATTACTTTCGTCCGGGTAAAATTAATGCATTTTATGAAGGTGTTATTGCACACCATTTACTGCACTTTATGTTGTGTTCACGACACAATATATAATGCACTGCATGCACTTCATTATGGCACTTCAGTTTATCATTTTTTAGTTTTGATAAATACAATGCACTTCATGCGAGAGTTATGGCACGACATTACAAAAATGTTATGATTTTATATATATATTTTCATTTTAGATGTGATAATTGCACTTTATGTCCATTTTAATGCGCTACATTATTGCACTTCTTGTCATAATCACATTACTTATGTTCATATCATTTCACATTTTGTACCAATCATTTGCACTTCTTGTGATATTCACGGCATTGAATACGAATTATTGCACACGATCTTCTATCATCTTCAACCTAGGGTTCATCTTCAACATCGGGTTTGCCTTCAACCTCAGTCGCCTTGGTTGAAAAATCCGAATTTTTGGAGCGTCGATCCAACGCCTTGGTTGAAGAATCGTATTGTGAATACGAAATATTCACTACAAACAGAAAAAGAGCGAAGGAGACGTACATGCGACGGGAAGCGGCGGCGAGCATAGGCTGGACAACGGCAGCGGTGAGCGCAGGCTAGACCAAGGAGGCAGCGAGTGTGGGCTGGATGGAAGAGGCGAGCACAGGCTGGCCTGGGCGGAGGAGGCGAGCGTAGACTTTACCAAGGAAGCAAACATGTGCGGCTGAACGGAGATGGCGAGCAGGCGGCTGTACGGCTGGCTGCACTGCGGCAGTAGTTGTAAGCGGCGGCGGGGTGGCAGCGGCAGGATGGCGGCGGGCTGTGCGGCGGGCTGTGCGGCGGGCTGTGCGGTGGGCTGTAGGAGGCTAGACGCTAGGTTGGAAAAATGGAGTAAGAGATTAGGATTTTATAGGCATAACCTAAAGGGGATATAACCTAAAGGGTATATAATAATAGCCTAATATTAAATTAGGAATCCTTTGTATCTTTGGAAACTTTTATTATTATAAATATATCTGCTAGGTACCCCATTGGGTAACCTTTCCCATTATTTCACATGGTATCAAGAGCCTAATTTTTTCTCTCTCTCCTAAACCCTCGTTCGCGTCATGAGTTCTGAGCCGATGATTACTTCTGCCGCCGGCTCCTCCGCGTCCTCTTCTTCTTCCACCTTCACGGATGCCATCATCACAAACACCAGCACCGCCATTCCCTTGACAGCGTCGCCGCAGGTGTCGTCTTCTCCAATTGGCCCGGTTCTACAACCTTCTTCTTCTCAAACCGGCATGGAGTCTTCAAGTGCCTACTCTTTATTTCAAAACATGCCTCCGGTATTCCCCTGGCAGCCAACTATCATGCCTAATATTCCAGGCTTGTTCTCCACTCCGCCGCCGGATGTCACGCCTCCGCCGCTCTCCAGTCCAAGTTATTTTGGTTCCACATTCTCCGGGGCTCCTGGACTGTCTAGGCCGCCAGACCAGTCCTTCTTTCAGTCACCGTTGGCAGCAGTAGCTCAATCAATTACGGCGGCCAACAATGTTACTCAAATTGTTACAATCAAGCATAAAGCGGTAGAAGATTACATCACATGGCGCACCCAATTTGAAGCTTTCCTAGTCTCTCAAGGTGTGTTTGGTTTCTTGGATGGTTCCACAAAGGTACCTCCGATGTACACAGTTGATTTTAATAATCGCCAAATAATTAATACTGATTATCATCAGTGGTTAAGGGTTGATCAAACAATTCGTTCTTGGATTTTTGCTACTCTTACTCGTGATGTATTAATTGATGTCCATGAACTTAAGCACTCCTTTGAGATTTGGGAAAGATTGCAAAATCGTTTTCGTTCTGCTAGTCTGGCTAGGGCAATGACACTTAGGCGTTTATTGTCTAATGTGAAAAAGAAGGAAAATCAGTCTATGGAAAATTATTTAAGAGAAATTCATGCGTTAGTAAGCGAATTAGCTACAATAAATTCTCCTGTGTCCGATAAAGAAGTTCTGCAAACCACACTTATGGCGCTCGGACCAGAATATGAATCCACCATGGGCACTATTTCTCTTTTCCCCGATAATTTCCCGCCAGACATTCTTCACCGGAGCTTGTTAGAAGCCGAACAGAGGGTCCTATATCTTCGTCAGCAAAATACTCCACCTGCTTACCAAGCGTTCGGTGTTCAAGATCGAGAAAATGCCCCACGTGGTGGCCGTGGTGGCCGCGGCAGGGGTGGCCGTGGAAGAAACGGCCGCGGCAGAGGCCGTGGTTACCACCAGTACGGCCAGCAACCACCGCTCGGCCACGGGCAGCAGCACTCAGCTCCGCAGCAGGGACCGCAACCGGGACAGCACCATCAGCAGGGGTTCGGCCAGCAACAACTGAGACCTCCTAATGCAGGTGCCATGAGTAATTCTGTTTTGTCCACCTTAAATACTAATGCTATATTATATTGTGGTACTAATGTTAAATCTGCAGGCTCTTCATCAACTGAGGGAATTCTTGGGGCAATTCCCCCACCCGTTGTGTGTCAAATCTGTTTTTCTGCAGGCCATTCTGCAATCAACTGTCCCTCTCGTTTTTCTCCATCTACTGCACCTGTTCTTCTGATCTCACCGGTCAAGCTAATGAAGCTCTGTGGTATCCAGACACTGGTGCCTCTGCTCATATGACTTCCTCTGAAGGTATTTTGACAAATAAATCTACTTATTCTGGTCCAACTATTGTTAGTGTTGCTAATGGTGCTCAACTCCCTATAAAACATGTTGGTGATATTTCTTTAAATTCCTCTGGCCGCCAACTACTGTTGAAATCTGTTTATCATGTGCCTAATATTAAATTAAATTTAATTTCAATTCAAAAATTGTGTGCTGATAACAACTGTGTTGCTATTTTTGACAAAAATTCCTTTTTCGTTAAGGACAAAATTTCGGGGGCGGTTCTTCTTCGGGCAACAACTAATGGCCATCTCTATCCTCTCAGCCTGAGTCCACCATCTAGCCTAGCTTTATCTTCAGTCCTCACCATCGGCCCTGTGTGGCATCGTAGATTAGGTCATTGTGGTGAAAATATTTTACGTATTTTAAGTGGTCAAAAACGCATATGTAATAGCTCTAGTTTTTCCCATGACTGTATTTCTTGCCGGTTAGGCAAGTCTCAACGATTACCTTTTTCAGATGCTATTCACACTTCTTCCTCTGTTTTACAATTAATTCATTCTGATGTGTGGCAATCTCCTGTTCCTTCTAATTTAGGATTTAAATATTATGTCTGCTTTATTGATGATTTTTCTCGTTTTACATGGATTTACCCATTACGTCATAAAAGCGAGGTTTTTGACTCTTTTAAAATTTTTAAATCTTTAGTTGAAAATCTTTTTAACTCTAGAATTAAAATTTTTCAAAGTGATGGAGGGGGTGAGTTTGTTAATTCTCATATGCAGCAATTTTTTGATACTCATGGAATTTATTTTCAAAAATCTTGCCCTCACACTCCTCAACAAAATGGGCTTGCTGAGCGTAAACATCGTCATCTACTTGAACTAACTAGAACTATGCTTATTGAGGCATCTCTTCCTAGTCATTTTTGGGTTGATGCGTTGTTTACGGCTGTATATATTATTAACAGATTACCCACTCCAACGTTGTCTGGTCACTCTCCTTATGAAAAACTTTTTCAAAAATCTCCTGATTATTCCCTTTTACGTGTGTTTGGTTGTGCGTGTTTTCCAAATATTTCTGCCAGTTCCTCCAATAAACTTTCTCCCCGATCCATTCAATGTGTTTTTCTAGGATATGCATCTGGTTATAAAGGTTATCATTGTCTTGATCCTCAAACCGGAAAAGTATACATAAGTCGGCATGTGCGTTTTTGTGAAAATATTTTTCCGTACACCACTTTGACCTCTACTATGCATAACACGCCTTCTACCTCCCAACCTTCTCTCCCTATTTCCTCCTGGAGCCGATCAGCCTCACTCCCAAAGGACCTTCCCCGACCTGCTCTCTTACCTCTTCCTCGGAATCCTCGGCCCATCCCAAACCAGCCACCTCAGTCCCGCCATACGGCCTGTCCGACCACCCCAACCTCAACCCCCATCCCGGTCAGCTTCTCCAGTCCGGAACACCTCGCTACACCGGACACAAGCCAGCTCGAGCTCTCCTCGGCTGAGTCCAGTCCACCTCAGCCGACCAGCCCTGTATCTGACCCCACTTCATCTCAGCCGAACAACCCACCTATCACCCCATCTACAAACCCACTGCCCAGCCCCGCACCCGAGCCCGAACAGCACCCCCCTTCCCCTGTTAATGTCCACCAGATGCAAACTCGGGCGAAATCTGGAATTTTTAAACCAAAAACTATTTTTAATTTAAACACGGTTGTTGTTTCAGCAGATCCTACTTGTTTTTCTGAGGCAAATAAACACTTGATATGGCGTAAGGCTATGGCTGAGGAATTTAATGCACTTATTGCTAACAACACTTGGGATTTGGTACCTTTTGATAACTCTAAAAATATTGTTGGCTCTAAGTGGATTTATAAGACAAAATTTCTTTCAGATGGGTCTATTGAGCGCCACAAGGCACGGTTAGTTGCTCAGGGGTTTAATCAGCAGGCTGGTGTAGATTTTTCTGAAACGTTTAGTCCTGTTATTAAACCCACCACTGTTCGTACTGTTCTCACTTTAGCTATTTCATTCGGGTGGGTTATGCCTCAGCTTGATGTTAAAAATGCTTTTCTTCATGGTCATCTTACTGAAGAAGTTTATATGCGTCAGCCGCGGGGTTTTATTCATCATCAGTATCCTCATCATTTATGTCGTCTGCGCAAGGCTATTTATGGTCTTAAGCAGGCCCCGCGGGCATGGTTTCATAGGTTCAGTAGTTTCCTACTTTCTCATAATTTTTTATGTAGTAAGTCGGATAACTCTCTATTCATTTACCGCCAGGGCACTTCGATTATTTATTTGTTACTATATGTGGATGACATTATTATTACTGGCAATTCATCATCTGTTGTCACTCAGTTCATTCATCTTATTGCTCACCATTTTTCCATGAAAGACTTGGGTGATCTTCATTATTTTCTTGGCATTCAGGCCATTCGTAATCCTAAAGGTTTGTTTCTCTCCCAGCAGAAATATGTCTCTGACCTTTTATCTCGCTTTCATTTACACACTGTCAAGTCAGTTCGCACTCCCCTTGCGTCTCGTACTTCCTTATCTCTCACTGATGGCGAGCTCCTTGCAGATGCGACTGAGTATCGCAGTATGGTAGGCGCATTACAGTATTTAACTTTGACAAGACCTGACATTACTTATGCTGTGCATTTGGTTTCTCAATTTATGCATGCCCCACGTACCACTCATCTTTTTGCTGTCAAGAGGATTTTTCGATATTTGCAGGGTACCATTGATCATGGTCTATGACTTCAGCCTACACCTAAGGTGACCTGCATTATGGCATATTCAGATGCAGATTGGGCCGGATGTCCCGATACCTCTCGATCCACCACCGGCTACGCAGTATTTCTTGGGCCAAATGTTGTATCTTGGAAATCAAAGAAGCAACCTACTGTTTCCAAATCCTCTACAGAAGCAGAGTATCGAGCCATTGCCTACACGGTGCAGGACACAATACACATTCGGTCCATTCTATTCGAGCTTGGTTTTCCAGTCACAGCACCGGTACGTTTGTTTTGTGACAACATCTCTGCTTCCTACTTGACGGCCAATCCTGTTCAGCATGCTCGGAGTAAGCATATCCAGATAGATTATCACTTTGTTCGTGAACGTGTGGCTCACGGTGATCTTGTTGTTAAATATGTTCCTACCAGTCTTCAGTTAGCAGATATATTTACTAAAAGTCTCTCTAGTCAGCAATTTCATTTTTTAAAAGACAACCTGTGCGTTGTATCTCCCGCACAGTTTGAGGGGGTGTAATAGCCTAATATTAAATTAGGAATCCTTTGTATCTTTGGAAACTTTTATTATTATAAATATATCTGCTAGGTACCCCATTGGGTAACCTTTCCCATTATTTCACATATAAGTCCATAAAAATTAATTATTTAATTATTAATTACCAGATTAATTAATCATTATATATAAAAATACTATTTTGGGAAAAACTGGATTAGGTCATATAGATTGGGAGTATTAACCAATTTTATAAAATGATGACTAGAGCAGTCAGTTTAAGTAAAGCTTCTAGCCTTTCCACCCTGCTAAATAAATAAAAATCCCGTATGAACTACAGATCACTTTGTAATTTATCCTCCGTATTAGTTAAAACTAGTATTTTTATCTGTGTCGCGCACAGAATAAAATAATATCTAGGTTTTACTCTATATAAGACATTTTATTTTCTCAATCATTTTCTAGATTGGACTGATTGGCGACGTTATGAATGTTTTTATTGAGTTGAACTTTTATGTTATGTATGATCTGATCTATTTAAAATTAGGTTGATCCAATTAGGTCGAGTGAACGACTGATGTTGATATAATGTCTACTTGATACTCTATTCATTATAATATTATAAAATATAAGATCGATTTATTATTGTGTAGAGTCTCTTCTTGAAAATTGAATGAGATGGTGATTTAAACATTTCTTTGCAATGCTCGTCTAAAAATTGAAATTAAATAAAGTATAAAAGTGGATAAATTTGCTCCAAGTTTCCCGTCCAAAGTAGCGATAATTTATACTCCCTGGGTTCTCATATCATTCGCTTGTCACAATAAATTTGTTTTATATTCTTTCCGGCCCTTTTATTCAGTCAAAAATTGACTTTTCAAGTCAACGGTGTTAAACTTTGACTGATTATAAATTTATACACGGGAGTATTGATAATATAAAAATGTTCTTTGTTAAAAATAATATCATAAAAGTATAAATTTATTACTCCCTCCGTCCCTAAAAGAACTTCCATTTCGCTTTTCGAGAGTCAACTTAAATCACTCTTAAACTCTTACTTTATATATCAAAACTTTATGAAAATTGAATTTTTTTGCAGGCTTTGTAGCGGTTTTAATGTAGTTTCTGAATATGTAAATTTTATTTACTAAAAATAATCTGAGTTTTCACATGGATCATTTAACTTTATCGTTGGTCAAACTTCGTAACCCGCAATTGGAAGAACATTTAGGGACGGAGGGAGTAAGTTTCATCTTTGGCCGGAAAAGTCAAAGATGACTAACTAAAGGGATGGAGGTAGTACCATATTTGTCAATATTTGGGCAATTGCAAGTCACTTTTACTTATTTACACTTTACAAAATCAATATCAACCATATAATTTTATTTTTCTTAATAACAAACCGCATTACTCTCTCTTACGTTCCAGCATTCCAACAACAAAACTAATATCGGGACGAGTACAGGTCTGAACGTATCCCAAACACCTAACCACTGATGCATAAGGAATCTTTCCATCTCCTTACGTTCCAATTCACTTTTAGGACATTTTAATAAACCGAACCTGTCCCCCTTCTGAATTGGAACCGCACTTGAATATCAACTATATATCCATATTAAATCTTTCTAAGACCTGATTGATGTAGCTTTTCTGAGACATGCCCAAATTTCCTATGAACGGTTTTGAAATATTTCAATTCCAATCACATAGGATGTCTCACCCATATCTTTCATCTCAAAGTTCTTAGAAAGGAACTTTTTAACATCATGCATCATGGACATATCATTCGCAGCAAGCAAGATATCATTAACATATAGGACTAAAATTACAAATCTGCTCCCACTGACCTTCATATAGATGCACTGGTCAACAACGTTCTCTATAAAACCATAAGAACAAATGGTATTATGAAACTTAAGATACCATTGTCGGGAAGCTTGTTCTAGTCCATATATTGACTTTTGTAACTTACGCACAAGATTTTCCTTACCAGTGGTAAAAAATCCTTCTGGTTGATCCATATACACTTCTTTCTCTAAGTCTCTGTTCAG